TCACACGCTTCTTCTTTCCAGTAGTATCTACCTTCCAGAGAAGCCACATTGAAGATCTACTGGATAATTTCATTTTCAATTTTCAAAAACATGTCACATTCAAATGCACTTTCACTTTGTAAGAATACATAGGACATTTCCAAAGACGCAGCATTTTGCTAAACAAGATTATTAAAACAAGATGTAAAAGCTGCAGTATTAGACAAATATACTGCTTTGAACAACATTTTGCAGAATTAGGTAGTATTTATTTTTAATAGCAAATAGGTCTGGCTAACAGCATGTGTACATCACCTGGATGACCTGGGTTCTCAGAACATATCTGAAGTGTGTTTTGGGGGTCTCTCTGTCCTGACATGGATGGGATAATGTTAAAAAGGCATCACCTCCAACTTATGATATTTTCGTAATGTTTATGAACAGTGTGAGCATTTGATGCCTAGAAATTTACTTTGGAACCAACAATGTTGAATGAAACTATTTTCAAATATTCGACTGAGATATAAAACATGTTTATCATGAAAAGAATTAATCATATTTATAGTGAAAAACTGAAAAACGAATTTCCAAAATCTAATTTGCAATCACAATTCATGTGACAAAAATTACTTATATATGACCTTGTTAAACATTAGCCACGAATATAAATACAGATTAAGTCATCTTGTATGGCAATTTGCAAAAGTGTTACTGATAGAAAGGTATGATAGTAGTGAGTGAGTGAGTGAGTGAGTGAGTTTAGTTTTACGCCGCACTCAGCAATATTCCAGCTATATGGCGGCGGTCTGAAAATAATTAAGTCTGGACCAGACAATCCAGCGATCAACAGCATGAGCATCGATCTGCGCAATTGGGAACCGATGACATGTGTCAACCAAGTCAGCGAGCCTGACCACCCGATCCCGTTAGTCGCCTCTTACGACAAGCATAGTCGCCTTTTGTGGCAAGCATGGGTTGCTTGAGACCTATTCTACCCCGGATCTTCACGGGTCAGGTATGATAGTAAGGTAGAGTAACAAACTTCCTGCAATGCAGATTTTCTGCCATTCTGACCCCATGTAAACGCATAACATTACTCAAACATGTTCTAAATTTAGAGTGAGTGAGTGAGTGAGTTTAGTTTTACGCCGCTTTTAGCAATATTCCAGCAATATTACAGCAGGAGACAACAGAAAGGAGCTTCACACATCATGCTTATGGGGGGAGTTAAACTCGGATCTTTTGTGTAAGAGCAACTCCTTTAACCACTTTAACTTTCTAACTTTAATAGATTTATTCGGAAGGTACTAAACATAAGATGGTCACTCCTGGTTTTTCTTGTTAAAACGCCCAGAGGACCACAATATCTATGGTTCCTGATTAAAACTGTGAAGGTTCAGCCATATTGCACAATGTTTTGATGTCAAAATGAAATTCTTAGACATGACATGACTGAGTGAGTTTGGTTTTACGCGCTTTTAGCAATATTCCAGCAACATCAAGGCGGGGACACCAGAAATGGGCTTCACACATTGTACCCATGTGGGGATTCAAACCCGGTCTTCGGTAAATAACCACTAGGCTACCCCAATCACTCTTCTTGACATGACATGGCAAAGGTAAATAATCAATAAACTCATTGTTTATTAAGCCAGAGATTTTAAAATAAGTAACCATGATGAATACACAATGCCACAATCATTAATCCCAAATATATTATATGTTACAGTAACAACGAGTTAAGAGGGTTTAATTTTGTTCTGCATCAGTAGAGATGCAGTTCACATATCCAAGCCATGCATTTGAGTACTTTTGCACTCTTCTGTGCCATGTTAAACTCAAGAAAACTGGCTTACGAACAAGGTGTACTTTAGGTAGGAAATAATTCACTTGTCCGTTCACTCATAGTTTTAACCATTTTTCTAAATTAATCAATTTTTTAGCAGTATTGACAACAACTAATGATGTTTTGACTGTCATAGATGGATTGCCGTTTCAAAAACAAAATGCTATATGCCAATTGTGTTGATTATTGGTATTATTCTAAATCATCTTTGAAAACTTGAGCAGTATCGATTTCAGTGAGTGAGTGTGTGAGTATGGTTTTACGTAGCTTTTAGAAATATTCCAGCAATATCACGGCTGTGGACACCAGAAATGGGCTTCACACATTGTACCCATGTGGGGAATCAAACCTGGGCCTAGATTTTCGAAGCTCTCTTAGCGCTAAGATAGTCGTAAGTGCCATTCATTAACATTAACTTACGACTATCTTAGCGCTAAGAGAGCTTCGAAAATCTAGGCCCTGGACCTTAGGCTACCCCACCACCTCAGTATCAATTTCAACTATTTTTGTTTTGACTTGTCATTGAGGTATTAACCTATCTTCAAACAGTACATACTGAAAACAAAATGTTTTGATTATTGGTAATTTCTGAAGTATCTTTGAAAATTTGAACAGAAACAGTGTCAAACATTTATATTCTGACTGTCATCAATGCATGGATGTACGCATCCAAGCATTTCTGTGACCGTATATTTCCCCAGCCCTAATGGCTCCATGTTTCGGCCTGTTACAAGCATATGCAGCAACAACATCTGTTTAGGTTCAGTCAAGTGACAGGAACTAGCACAACATTAACGACCAATATGCTCTGCCTATAACAAAGCAACATATCACAGCACCGCATCCCATTATGGTCCAGACAGCAGAACCAGATATTACACCAAGTCCAAAGATTTCTGTGGGGGCTTCTTATCAGTGACCAACCACAGTTATATGCTAAACTAAGAGCCCTTCAGCCAAACTGGGAAAAAATCCTTAGTTTTGTTCAAGATCCCCCCACACATCCCCACCACCACCACCAAAAGAATAATTAAAAAATCCAGGTATTTCAAACATATTTTCAGTTCAATAATTAGTTTGTCATACACAGGGGTGGAAATAACTTTAAAATTGCTAGTGTACTCTGGTACAGTGGCACATGTAAAATCACTTGCCCTGATAATTTTTCCACTATACCGTCCGTTTCCTTGTTGATTTTTTAAATAAACAACATAATTAACATTTGAATATCAACTGGACACCGGTACAGTGTGATATACAAATTTGCTTGCCTGGCAGAAAAAAACACTGGACTCGGGTGTCGGGCAATGGGTTATTTCCACCCCCGATACAGACCCTGAAACAAATATATCCAAGAAATCCCATGCAGGTCTACAATATGTGGCAAGTCTAGATTTTCTGTAAATGAAAAGTCTCTGTTTCTCTTCATTAAATTTTATGATTATATTTATGAACATTTTTTTCTGTAAAATATGTTCATTTCAGAAATAGATGTTAGTCTATTAATGTGAAGCTAAGCATTAACGCCTTTTTCTCTTTACTATGTCTATTAGTCTTGTTGACAATAACAAACAAGTATGTCCTCAAAGGCTCTTAGTCACAAGAGAATAAACATGAATTGGGAATAATAATTCTCAATGGGTAATTTTACTGACATTTGCCACAGACTTGGGATTAACTATTGGTCTGAGACCAGGTACACATGCTGTTAGGGCTGTGCAGTATAACCTGTTTACTGGTATTTACTGGTTCAGACAAGTAAACGATACATATTGCGATATGCTGATCAAAAACCGGTATTTTGACTTGCATTCGGAAAACTTTTTAACACTCGAAAATCTTCGGATATTTCCTTGTTTCATTTGTGCCAAATATTATTTACATTTCTATTTTGTCATGATTAAAGGTTGTTAAAGCTTAATCAAGTATAGTTATTTTGTTGTGTTTTTGCTCTATAAATCAAGCTTTAACTCTAGTATAAATAGTATTTTTGGTTAAAAATACTTCTTGCAATATATTGCAATACATATTGCAGCATATGCTTTCGCATTGCAATATATCGCAATATGAAACTTCTCTGCAATACCCAGCTCTACATGCTATCATGAATATATACAGAAAGTACAGCATGACGGGTCACCCCAAGCATTATTCAAGCTACCCCTCCCGAGCTCACTGTAACATTTTCCTTTATCCTGCTTAGTGAGTGAGACTTTATAATAGACAGGTAGAGTCAGAGGCTTCAGGTGACGAGAATATGACTACACAATCTAACCCGGACTTGTGGGGGTGAACTTCATTCAAACTTGCTGGACGGGTTACCTTTGCATCAACAATGCTGTTAGAAAGCTGCCTTTATTTATCTGATGTTTTTTTTCTGACATGCATACCATGGAATTATGGACTGGAATGTGAAATAATTGTGTCTGTTGTGAGATAATAGAGGCTGGTTGTCTGTCATGCTGCATGTTTTGCTGTTCAGTGATCGGACAAACATGACAGTCTATTCATGTCATGCAAACATCATACTTTCATACAAACTTATTACAATAAATTATCATGAATAATTTTTATCAGTATTTTTCAATCTGAATTTCAGGAATATGAAACAATAATTACATATATAAATATAGTGTTATAAATCTATGAAACGTTTACATATATCCGTTTCAGTGTCATACATTTGATATTTTGAATAAAATCTGTCCATATTGACAAGATATTATATTGAAAGTGACATTGATTGATTGGAGAATGATGAATCATATTCAGAGAGACCCGCGTAAATTCAATCTCACCTGTGTTGTCATGCACGCCGCCAATGATGTACAGCTTCTTCTGATAATGATTAGCTAATCCTCCTGCTGGCTGAGATGGGTAGTCATAGCGATACACTCCAAAAACCATATTGAGAGAATTAACAAATAATTATCCAAAAAGAAGTGCACAGAGTCCGAGTCCAGGCTATCGGGAGCCCGTCACTGCCTTTACCACTCCCCTCCAGTGTTCTAGCCTAACTGATCCTACAGTATACACGATGTAGCACGGGCCGTTCCACTACCTCACCATAGGGGGGTCAGGTCACTCACTCGCTGTAGCGAATCCGTTACACATCACTGACAATACCTAATCACAAGAGTTGGACGGATAAATATAATAAGGATAAACTTACTACCTGCAAATCTGCCAGAATCCTCGTGGTCGGTGTCTGTGTCTGAGGAGGGGTCGTGGTAGCTGCCAGGCGTGGCTGGACGGTCGTCTGGAACAAGGGAGATCGGGCATGACAGAAGATAATCTTTATGGTTCATAGGATTTTCAGATGAGCGAGTTTGAATACAAACACAGGGATTACCACCATATTTGTCAGGCTACATAGGGTGTCTGAGGCCAATGTTCCAAAACATACAAGTTTTTTTTATTTAGCTGGCCCTGCAACTGAAACATCTTTTATTTCCAGTATTTTCACAATATTGATTTTTATATTCCTTTGTTACAAAACAATGGTGAGGCAATTTTTCCTGTTACAGATAACACTTCATTGTAGATTTCTTTTTTCAAGCTCATAACAAAGAGTTTATATGAATATCTTTGGATAAAAATGCTTTGATACTACTTTACTGTGATTGACAGTGAGTTGACTTTTACGCTAGTTTTAGCAATATTCTACCAAGATCATTGCAAGGATATCAGACATTTACAAAATTAGAATTTGGAGAAATGTTTCCTAATGATTGTATGTACATATCATGCACAAAGAACCAAGTCAGAATAACAATACTTTCTTTGTGATCAATCAGTCAGTCAATACTGTTACAGAACTGTGTAGATAGATCATACAGTGAAGCAGATAATGAGCAAAATGAAGGCAAGTGTGCAAATTATTATACTAGCATAAATCCTTATACATATACATGTATTTCTTTTAGAAGGTACAGGCACCAGGTGAAACGGTATACCGCGGTATTAGTAGAATCATGGTATTTTGCCTTCGGTTCGGTATACCATAATGCAATCCAAAAATTCGGTATTTTCGGTTTTCGTATCGTTATTTCTATCTAGTCATAAAATGACGGTTTTGTTCTTTCAAAATAACAAAGATAAAGGTTATTTTCTTTCCAATTTATCAAACAATGTAAGGTTTGGCTCTTGTCAATTTTCTGCATTATGATCATATCTCATATACCAAACCAAACCAAAGGCCTTGTACCGCAGTATGTACCGTACTACGGTAAGAGCGTACTGTTTCACCCTTAGCTCCAAAGTTCATACTGGCCTGCTAGCCTGGGACAACTACATTGAGGTGAAGACATGTCTAAATCCAAGAAAGGTTTTATTGTAGCATTTGAGGGCCATAATTCAGAACCAGTTCTCAATGCTTCCATTTTTACAACAAATGCTACAGAGTCTAAGGACAAGCAAAATAAGGTTATCATTTATACCCTAGGCCTAGATTTTCGAAGCCCTCTTAGCGCTAAGATAGTCGTAAGTGCCATACATTAACATTAACTTATGACTATCTTAGCGATAAGAGAGCTTCGAAAATCTAGGCCCTGGACTATGCCTAAAAATGAGAAAAACAAAGAATTGCAAAAGCTTTGTGTTTAATGAGAAAAAAGATCAGCCTCTGAAAATCTATTAGTAATACATTCAAAATTAACTTTGAGAAAATCAAGTTCCAGTTTCAAAAGGCTTTGGGTAAATTTCATATTTGTAACATACACATTACGTTTACCAAATTTATTATGTGGTAAACACATGGACACAAGAATTTGAACTGATCCGTACTTTATATTCACCAACATAACTCTCAGAAAGAGTGGACCGACCCATCCATATTGTGCGTGGGGTTAACCTTACACCCGCTTCCCTTTAAATCTATCAATCATGTGTACCCCTAACTTCTAGCAAATGTAAACAATAAACCCTTCCTCCAGCGATCACTCTCTCCACCCTATTGACACAGATATTTCAGCTACTATCCAGATAAGATACCCTTTGAACAAATTCAGGGTGCGGTGATCGTGAAGTGGTTGAATAAAACACACAGGATTCTCTATTTACGTGTCTAAATGAAAGTATGCAGTGCGTGTGCACCTAGCATACAGGTGGCAACATTTACCAGACAGGAGGAGAGTGCAGCTGCATTAAGACTGTTGGTTTGTCATTCCTAAAAAGTAACAAGTGTAAATACGGAATGCAATTAACTCAGTGATGTCTTTATTTAAAAAAATACAAGGAGTGTCTACACCATTAGACATAGTGAAACTGAAATAAACATGACCAAATAAGGATATCTCTAAAGTCTGAAATGTTTGTCTAATTATATAATTCAAGAGAAGCATGAATATTCATAAGTTTATGTACCAAGATGTACATGGTGTCTTGTCACATGAAGAAAGAATAAATAAGTGAGTGAACAGGGTTTTACACAGCTTTTAGAAATCTTACAATCTTGCAGCAATACCATGGCAAAGAACACAAGATATGGGTTTCACACCTTATCCATGTGCAGAATCAAACCCAGGTCTTCGGTGAGATGAGCAAGTACACTAACCACTATGCTACCTCATCACCCAAGGTAAAGAAAAAGGGAACACAATCTTTGTCCAAATGTTATACAGCACACTGATGTAAGTGGCAGGGTGGATGGTTGTGATACTAGTAGGGTTGCATCTAATAATAGGGGGTAATGATGCATTGAACTATCGATGGATTGCAATTGTTGAGTCTCCGATAGCAATTAACTGATGGTAGAAACAACAATCGATGCATCGATAGTACATATGACTATTCATAGTTTAGTAATTGACTTCCGTTGATAAATGTGTACCACAAAATACAGAAAGTACCAGATACGTTCACTTTGATTTCGAGTTATCCATCCTGTTACCTCTTAAACAATCTTGATCTGGATTTCAAGTTTCTTGTCAGTTATCAAAAGAGACTGAAACTACTTCAGCTTGTTTTTATTTCATATAAACTATACATTCATTTGGGAAATGACTTCAAATGAGACAATTCAAGGAGAAAAATCCTATTGCAATAGTATTGCAAGCTAGAGGCAAATTATTTTCATGCTTTATTGAAATAATAAACACTGCTTTTGCTTTAAGAGTAAATGCAAGATGATACTAAACTGACACACTTTGAAAAAGCATATTCGATTGTTTAAATTATTCCGTAAAATGGGCACGAAAATCAAAATCAAATTAGTTTTTCTGAATATGCGTAGCTAGGTAGGTTTGAGATAATCAAACAACAATGTTATCACACAGGTTGGATCTCACTCAGTGTGTTTGGAGATGGACTTAAGTACAAAAGCAAATCTTTTCCGATTTCTATTTAAAGTTAACCGGGATTCGAACCCACACCCTCACAGTCAGGCACCTAATTGCCACCACACAAAGTCAGCAGTCTAACCCACTCAGCCATTGCCACTTTGTGTGCTGGCGATTCAGTGCCTGACTCCGAGGGTGTGGGTTCGAATCCCGGATTGGACTCAACCCAACTAAAGTACTAGAATTTGTACTTTACTCAGAAAGAGTAATCTCAAATATAACATACGTTACATTTGACCACTTTCTAAATGGCATTGTGTAACCATTTAAAGTTGATTACCTGTATGTGTTTTCACTTGGTTCGGTATATGTGGGCCCTTGGTAGGTTCTCATTTGTGTTTTCAGTCACCACATTATTAATTGTAACTTGCTGTATATTATTACAAATAACAGCTTCTTTATGTTAGATTTCTACATGCATACCTCTTAATGCTTTATCTGTCAAGATAATGGAAGACACAGCAGCCAAGCAAAACAAGTAATTTCAATTCTTAAACTATATTTTGATATAGTGTGTGCTTTCTAGCTCCAAGGCGTCAAATCATTTGCCAGAATTGTAGATGAGTGTGGCCTTGTTCAAACTGCATACCTGAGCATTGAGCTACATAACCCATCACAAAGGCACATATGCTATATTGGGTGAGAATAAAGTTGAAAAAAAATAACATTTAAAAATTCCTTATTTGAATCAAGGAGGGTGCATCCAGTGCTACTTTAGTACTGACACACTTCTGATATTTAATTTAAAAATCTTATCGTATATCTTTAAGCTAAGCCCTTTGATATATTCCAGTGTATAGCCACATTCCTCCGATCATTGTCAGTCTCACAGAAGGAGATGGTTGTCATATTTCATCCAAATTCATTTAGTTCAGGTCTGTGTTTGTGTGCTGTATTTAACCCCAGGTAGCCATGTGTGACGTCCCCTGCCTGGGCTGTATGAGGAGAAAAAAGAGGGGAGGGGAAGGACACTCAGAGTGGGGGCCAAGGGCTACACAACAACATACACCCCTGTTCAGAGCAGGCTTATTTGGAGTACCATGCAACCAGCTTCTGTTGCTTCACGGGTTAAGATCAGGTTATGAAGAAAAAAAAAGTTTTATTTTTTTAAAAGTGAGTGAGTGAATGAGTGAGTTTTGCAATATTCCAGCAATATCATGGTGTGGGTCACTGTGTGAAGCCCATTTCTGGTGTTCCCTGCCGTGATATTGCTGGAATAATGCTAAAAGCGGCGTAAAACTAACCTCACCCATTCACTCAAAAGCTGCATGATGACATGCAATATTACCAAGTTACCATTAAATCATCCCTGACAGCATTTTCAGTATAATTGAGGCTGAATATCAGCTCTGAGCAGATCCAGGTGACTTCCAGGTATGTTAGTTCTAGGAGTAACCATGTTATTGATGCTAACAGAATACTCTGTATTTCATTTCATCAGATCGCTGTGTTGACTGATAAGTATCTGGTCAGAGTCAGACAAACAGCAATTTAATATGCCTCCGTCAATAGAATTGTTTTGTTGGGTCAGTGAATCATCAGCAAATCCATTTATCTGGAACGATTCAATCACCACCATGACTGGGAATAAAAGGATATAGGCCATTAGTTGAAAATCTGCCTATGATCACCGACAACATGTGATAAGTGTTAGAAATCCTCCTCGGGCCGATTACACCAGTTGTAGCAACACATAATCCCCTAATAAGTACAACAACGTAATACAACTGGATGATCTGTTAATCTTCCTAAATTGGACTGGATAATATATACCCAATACACAACTACAAGGGCTAGACTGTACTGATGCTAATCTCAATAAGGTCTGCCATATTTCTCTAGAAAATGACCCACTCAAAATACTGAAGGTAAACATTAAATTGAGTTAACATTTAATGAACAAACCTTTCTTCGGGTATGA